AGAGTTTAAGTGCCGATTACTCTCCAACAATTGCACTCTTATAGAGAATTTTTCTAGAAAGAAATCTTTTCGCAAAAGTTTGCAAAATAGCAAAATATTCTTTTTTTGTTGGGTTTGACGATTATGTAAATAGGAAAAAGGGGAATATTTTTGAACATTTGTTGACCAATAAAAGAATAAAAGAATGAGAGAATCGATTTTGGGAAAATTTTCATTTTTGGATGGTTGATTGATTGATGGATGAGTCAATTGATTCAACATTCCAACAAATCAAAAACAAAATTCATTGTTGAATAAGGAAAAGTCGATAAAAATCGAAGTTTAAAGTCATAATAGATTAAGTAACTGCAGTAAATGAAAGAAATGATTGAGATTTTAACATTTGAAGATCAAAAATTTTCAAAACAATTGAAGATCAAGTCAAAATTGACATCTTTACATGAAAATCTATGTACTATAGTTGAAGTTAGAAGTCTGTAACTGTAGTGCAATCGGTTTTGAAACGCTTGAGAAGTCATAGCTGAAGAAGATCCCCGGAATCTATCTATTGCATAGGAATGGACCGGTTGTGTATCTCTTCATCTCTTCATCTCTTCATCCGTCCTTTCCTTTTCCCCCCCAAACAGACACCTCATAGTCCGGCGACGATTGAAGGGGTGAAAAGTGTGTGTGAGATGAGATGAGGGTGATGAATGGCAAAAGTCAAACCGCTAAAGAAAACTAAAGAAAAGAAGGGACACTGACTGGGTGGAAAGTTCTCTCTGGACTCTTTGTACTCTTTGTACGACTCACTGACATACACCGGTTACCAGCTCTTTCTTTTTGTGTCTTGCCCTGTTCTTCTTTCTACAGATTACAGCCGATTAGTGAAGCATAATCAGCATTTTCGTGAGGCTATGTAAATCATATCGAGCAGTTTTTTTGCTCTTCTTGATTCTCTTTTCTAGACTGGTAGGACTTTCACTAATACTGAACTCACTAAAACTGAAGTATTGTTTGAATGATACAGAACTTTAGTATTGTTTAAAACGATACAGAACTTTAGTATTGTTTACTGAAAGGAACTGAAGACAAGAAGACAAGAAGACAAGAAGACAAGAAGACAAGAAGAAGAAGCAATTGAAATTCAAGTACAATTAATAGCTTACAGTCGAATAGCTTAAATTAATCAAGCATACAAAAGACTGCTAGTAACCATTGAAAAAAGTCCAGTGAGCTAAAAAACTGCAATTTAAAGAAGCTAGAATAATTTTTCAATCTTGTAGCTCAAATACAATCCTGAATCAAATACAAAGTTGGAATTAGGGTAGATCAAAAACTTGTGCGCCGCCGTGACTCGAACCCACGACCTTTCGCGACCAGGCAACTGTGCTAACCATTACACCACAAAGCACTTGTCCCCACTTACTTCAAAGGGAGTTAACTTCATATCTAGTTTCGAGCACACCCCAGTTTTTATAGACGTGTGGAACCGTCTCGTCCAGAGAGGAGGGAAGTTAACTCTCTCTGGAGTAAGGGAGGTATGTTGTGGTGTAATGATTAGCACAGTTGCCTGGTAAGCGAAAGGTCGCTGGTTCGAGTCCCGGCGGCGCACAAATTTTGATCTGCCCTAGTTCCAACTACCATCTTAAATCTCAATTTTCAAACCTTCAGAAGCTTTTATGAGATGAGATAGTGACGCTTAAAAGCAAGAAATTTTGAAAACTTAGTACATAAGACATTTCCAAACTAACTTAATATCTTTTTGGAGTAATAGTAAACGTAATAATATTAATAGTAATAATACGCTACTGAAAACTAAAGCAATAGAAAAAAGCCACAAGTTTCTGAGAACGATGACTAACAGAAGAGAGCAGCTGGAGGTTTTGATTTCAAAAGACTCTTCATTTCAAAAAAGAAACCTCAAGAGTCAAGAAATGATTCACTGAATCGTTGCGGTCAAAACACTTAAAAGAAGAAGAAATGAGTCTGAAGAAGAAGAAGAAGACCAGCTGAGTCGAACTTTTGATCCAACTTGTGAGCTAGATATTTTTCAGCTACATCAAGAACTTCAATATTCATTGAACTTCTCAGAAAGTTGAATTTCAGTTCAAAAAAAAGGTATGGCTGTCAAAAATTCAGTTCTCTGTAACAATTCCGATTATATTTAAAGATAAGCTGCTTTAATAAAAGTATATGTTAACCAGCAAAAGATCAAATCGGATAAAAAACAATTAAAGCTGCCAATTGGCTCTATTTCGAATAGTAAGAATAAAATTTGGCGTTGATCTAACGGTTGTAACGATTTGATCTAACATTTCTAACGATTTGATCTAACGGTTCTAACGATCCGACACTTGTGAAGTTGTAAATGGGAATTTAACGTTTCAAAAGAAAAATCAAAAAGCCCAAGTTGAACTTTAGGTTTCATAAGTACCAAAAATTCATTTTCAAAAACGAAAAGTTCGAAAAGTTCTTGGTAGAATAAGCCAGCAAAAGGTGTATCTATTCATATTTACCCCTTGTGTGTTTGCCGCTCTTTTGGGTCCCTTTTGAGAGACAAAAAGTGAAGGGGTGAATTCAGATGAGTGTCTCTGTCTCTGTCTCTGCCTCTGTCGCTTTTTCAATGTGTCGACTGTATGTTTGTCATTTTGAAGCCGCGACTCATTCAAATATTCCTCTATTTCTTTTTCTTCTCACATTTTCACACAATCATTTGTCTCTTCATCGGCTGTCACTTGGAGAAATGGCGTCAAAAGTGCCACCTAAATTTTAAAAATATGAAATAATCGAAGAAGATGGATATTTTCAATGAAGAGTCACAAAACCGTGCGTACTTTTCGTCACCATTTGAAAAAATGGCATCTGACGCACAGTCCAATCAGATGGAGCGCAAGAGAGCTGCCTTTCGGTTTAATTACCCAAGTTTCAGGATAGCATTATTCACAAAACCTTTCAAAAGTATCCCGAGAAATTTCGGAACCCTTTCCTAATAGGGACGCAGAAATGGAATGTAAAAACTCGAAAGTTAGAAAGCTTTCATGCTTTTTGGTTAATTTTTCAAGTTTAATGTTGTTCTGAAGATGGATATTTTCAATGAAGAGACACAAAACCGTACCGTAAATACTGTAATAGTACCCCACTCCCCTCGTACCGTCGCGTAGTCGCAAAAGTTTTTTAGTATTTAATTTTTTTTCGAAGCGCCCGTACTTTCAAAAAATGCGTCTTTGGTATCAAAAGATAGCCCTGAATTTCAGCTATTTTTTGATACCTAAACGAGCATTGTAGCATAAACCAGTGTCGAGAAAAACTCGTTCAAAGTTAGACTACGCAACACTCCGCACCGTCATTATGGGGGTGGGGTACTATTACAGTATTTACGGTACGTACTTTTCGTCACCATTTAAAAAGAATGGCATCTGACGCACAGTCCAATCAGATGGGGCGATAGAGAGCTGCCTTTTCGGTTTAATTACCCAAGTTTCATGTTGTTCTCACGATGATTTTATTCTTAATGCTATTTGTGTCTTTTGCCCGATTACAGTTCATCAGAAAGAAACTGCCCAAGTGAAAAGATCGAGTTTCAGAGTTGCACGAATAAATTCCCCTCTCAACAAAGTTCAATTGAAACTTTTTTAGAATGTCTAATAGTTTTTGAATTTTGGTGTCAAAAACATAAGCTCGTTCTGTTTCTCAAAGTTGAATTGACGAATGTAGATAAATCAATCGAGAACTTAAAAAAAAAACACGTGAACATACTCATATTTTGGGAGTGGGACAAATGCGACCTTTTTTTTGCGCACCTGGACGTTGGCGCACCTTTTTTTCCGCACTTCGCCCATTAGCGCACCTTTTTTCGCGTTTTAAAAAAGGTCTAAAAGCTAATATTAACCAATTTCTATTCCAAATGTTGTTTTTCTAGGTAATTTTAGGGCGTAGAATCGAAATTTTGACATAACGCACGTGGACATAATGCACGTGTGGCTGACTGGTTAAGTGTCTTTTATCTTAATCGGAAGGTCGAGGGTTCGAACCCCACATGCGACATGGTCACCCCTTCGGATTTCCTTTCCCTTCGGGTTGAGAGGTCTTCTGGAGGGCAGTCTGGTGGTTGTGGCCCCAGTTCTTTAAAGTGACAAGCCACTCCTTCATCGTCATCTTCCCTTCACCACCAAAAAAGCTATTTAGTCCCCCATTGAGCTTAGGGTTAGGGAGCCGTCTGTCATGACGTGGGTTAAGTTAAGATATAGCCTAGTATTGTGTGTGTCGTTGTATTGTGATTGATATATTTCGTGTATGCGATAAATTCACCACTGGTAGCCCCAGTCGGTATTTTTTAACGGGGCGTGTGGAACCAATTTGAAAGACAAAACGGCTAGATCAAATGACAGAAAATTGTTGATTTTTCTCTTTGTATAACTCCGTCCGTTCGCTTCCACAAGCTCTGATATGCCAAAATTTCGATTCTACGCCCTAAAATTACCTAGAAAAACAACTTTTGGAATAGAAATTGGTTAATATTAGCTTTTTAGAGCTTTTTAAAACGCGAAAAAAGGTGCGCTAATGGGCTAAGTGCGGAAAAAAAGGTGCGCAAATGCCCGGGTGCGCAAAAAAAGGTAGCATTTGTCCCACTCCCCATATTTTCCATTCTAAATTGAGCAATTGGATTTCCTTTTATAATGTAAATATTCATTCAGTTGACTGAATACTTATTACAGTGATCTTTCCATATTTAGTCAACTACTCACAGCAGGTTTATTTCTTACAATTTATCACTCATACCTAGCTTGCTTTAAACTGCCAAAAGTTGCGTAAAAGTCCGCAAAATTTACAGATTGGATGTTCTTATCTAAATTGGGAAGCATTTAGAGCCGATTTACGCCTCTAGTGCTTCAATATTCCAGTCCACTCTTGTCTAGTATTGTTTTTCGTTGTTTTTTGTAATACTAATTAATTTTTTTTGTTTTTTAATTAGTTTTTTTGTAACTTCGTAATGATTTTTGTTTTTAGAAAAAAGCAAG